CACATAGGGTGCAAAATAAGCTGGGGCTGGCCCTGCAGTCACCAAAAACAGGACATGTGGTAGCTGATGCATTAGGACAGGGTGTCAAACATGCAGCCCGGGGGCCAAATCATCCCCCCCCCAGAGGGCTTCTATCAGGCCCACAGTGGAACTGGCCCTCTCCTACTTCCAGTTCTGCTGCTGCTGCTGCATCGTAGCTTGCTTCGCCAGACTCTCTTAATCACTCAGCCATTTCATGGGATTTTTTTTTAATTTACATTTTTTATTAAGTATATCAGTCAAAACACAAACATAAATTCATTATTCATCTTATCGATATCCTCATTTTCCATTTTTAACAATCGTGAAACAAAGAAAAAAAATCCATCTGAGGTTACTATTACAACAACCAACATTTTTTCACTCTTCTAGTCCCTCCTCTTTTCCTATGCCCCTATCTTACCCGTTTATAAATCCCATCCAACTTCCCCATAACTTATAAATACTCATAATCCCACTCAAAACCTACAGTTCATTCTAACTCGCATAATACTATTTCCCTGCATCTTCTTCTGTACCTAAAACGAAAAGTTGAAAGGGTTGCCTCCGATTGTGGGAGCTACAGAGAACCACTCTACAGCGAGAGGGGAAGCCACCTCTCTCCCTATATACGAAGGTCTTGGGGGGGACACACTCTTCGCCTCCTTGCTACACCCATTCATGACAATAAAAGCTCTAAACTTCAAATTAGACACTCGTTCGCTCTCCTGCTACCCCCAACAGAAAAACAATGTTTACTCTTCAAAAACAAGGTAACTGAACAAATACTATCAATGCCAGCCAAGGGAAGAATTCAAGGCAAAAAAGGTGCTAAAAATTCACCTCTTAAACTATTAATGAAGGAAACTACTGACTCTGAAGAATCAGAGCAAGACTTTTCGTTGCTAGAGGAAATGGCTGCAGGAGGAGGGGATTCAAATATAAATTACTAGGCTCCAATTGCACAGGCATTAAAAGAAATAAAAGCGGAGATTAAAAGTGAGATAAAGGCTTTGTCTTCTGACGTGCGACAATTAAGAAAGGAATTTGCCCAGCTCAAGAGTGTTATTGACCCGATAAATCAGAAACTAGATGAACTGGCTTCAGCTGTAAAAATGACGGAGAAGAAGGCAGACTCTGCACTTCAG